TAACACAACACAGATGCACTAATCTTGCATAATGATAATATACTCAGCATATATCCTCTTCATTAACTATGGCAAGACACTTACAACCTCACTACCACTTTGTTCAAACAATATCTAATACAGATGTCGAAAAAAGGGCTTCGAAAATTGATGTATGCTGTTGCAAAGCTAGCGATGAAGTGCGCAGTGTCTGGCAGTGGTACTGTCAGCTGACTGTCACTTCACTTGCCAACTACAGAGTTCAGTTCTGGCTGTGGTCCAGTGTGTGGTATAAACAAAGACAAGCAGAATGGGTTCACTTCTGCATGTCGGTTCCTCTACTAATCTGACTTCAAAACAATGTATTACTTTCAACCTAGTTTCTTTGCTAATGTAGACTCTACTTACAAGATATCACTGAATGTTCCAGAAATTTCTAAAGACAAGGTCACTAACATGCATTAACCCTGAAGTGAAATACGATTTCACTGATAAATCTGATTTTTAAATATTTGCAATAGCCATATCAACAACTTGAAGCAAAATTTGAACTATACAGAAACTTTTCTCATAAAAAAGGAACTATCTGTAGTAACGTTTCACTTCACAAGACTATACACAGAAAAATATTCATTATCAAAATTTTCCTTCCATATTTCCTTCTCATCATTCAAATTCCTCTTTCTTATTCATTTCTTATCGGATCAAACCGGCCATACCATTCTTTTATACGAAAAACTTTCTCGACATAATCCATCTGCTAGGAACTAAACCGTGCACAACGCATTCACCCACAAACGTAATTCAGACCAATTCTCCTTCGCATTAACGATGGCGTGCCTTCTCGGTGGCACCCTTTTCAGAGCTGTAGGTCTTCTGACACTGTGACATCACCCGAATGCAGTTCTCCTCATGACTTCAGTGACAACCTTCAGGATTCATCAATGGAAGTCTCCCTCTCGGCCCCAACAATTAAAACACACACACGCCGCCTTTTCTCGCCTTGTTCCTTCCCCCGGAGTTGATTTACGTAATATAGTGAGTCCTTTGACATTCATGAGCACAAGAAGCCGAAAATAATCACCTCTCCTTCGACAAAAGAGCGTCAATCTGTTAAAAAGAGGGAAGGAGGTCCATCACACCGCCTCCTTCTGCTTCGCCTCCAGCCTCAATGTTTACGTTCGGGAGTACGCTGCCAGGTGTACGACGCGACCAAAACAGATGTCTCGCCTAATGTACTCCGGGGAAAGTTCGATCGTTATTGAATCTGTTGGCTTGTTTATTCGCCTTTCTTGGTTCTCTATGCGTAATTTGAGTTGTGGTTTCGAAGGAATGTATGATGTTGGGGGGACATAGGCCAAGAGGTGGGAGGAGCGTAAGGTGGTCACGGAAGGGTCGTCGTACCGCAGAGCCGGGGGACAAGGAACCCACGTCACCACGAACACTTTGCTCCCGTAATGTTTCGTTCAAGCCTATTTTGTCCCCGTGTGTTCTGTTGCACAAATCATCGTTGCGAAAGTATTTCCTTATTAACTTAAGCCACTTTGATTAACACATCATTCGTTCATAACTGCGACAAAGTAAATGGTGTGGATTTTTGAGACAGAAATACGTAATTATCAGTCCGCTATGAAGCGCAAGGAAACGACACCCATAAGACCCTGGCCTGAATTTCGCAGACGGAGAAAGCCTAAAGAGACTTGACCAAAAAGTTTTCAATTCTTCTTTTAGTCCAATTCATTTTTTTTTATCCGTCACGAACATAAAGTACTTCTCGAAAATGCACATGAAAAACGAATCTCGAACGAGGAATGATGCTAATTCAATCGTGTATAAGAAGAAAGACTTAGGCTGCGGTTGTCCACTCACGAGATTGAGGCACAGGGAGTATAGTCTAAAACCCTATAAAAGAAGAAGACGAGATTGAGGCAATAACGGTAGTGTTACTTTGCTTCACGTGTCGGGGGTAACTTCCAACCTCATCATCTCGTTTCCGTTATTTATTTTATGCTTCGCTGGAGGGTGATGAATGGGAGGTAGAACACTTGCGATGATTCGACTCTGTGAAGAAATAACTGTTCTCGTGCGCACGGTGTTGGTCATTAGCATTTTTATTAATTTTTATCACTTAATGACTTTTTTTTACGTGATTTATTGACGCACAATAATGGACATTGATTTTCTATTCACAGAATTTACATCTTTCAAAGCCACAGCCATCCACACAGGCATTGCCGTCAATTACTTTTTAAAATTTACGAAATATGAAAATGCAAATATATATTACTTAATTCCTTTATATGTCATTAATTTCAGTCTCAAAAATACAGCCATGATTTTTAAAACACTTAGTGTATAAAAGTTAATATCAAATAGCAACATCTTTCGCTAAATTCATACTTAACAACTATGCCGTTGCAAAATTACAAGTGACTCATCACCTAGTTGAGGAAATTTTAGGACACTGGGAATTCCATGACAAGTATTTCGGAGAACTTAAGCTTAATATGAAGGACGAGGCATGTCTTATTCCATCTGAAGTGGAGGAGCATCCTGTGCGTTTTTCTTACCAAAAATTCTATGGAAAGCGTCAAAACAACCAAGATTCTGGGAAGTCCGTGACAATTTTTTCCGGCTTTCTTTCTCTCCTTTTCTCTCTCTCTCTCTCTCTCTCTCTCTCTCTCTCTCTCTCTCTCTCTCTCTCTCTCTCTCTCTCTCTCTCTCTCTCTCTCTCTCTCTCTCTCTCTCTGACATTTATCAGTAGCTCTAAATGTCATTTCCCCCCTCTCCCACGCTCTCACTCCCCCCTCTCTCTTTCTTTTTCTCTCTCTCCCCTCTTCCCCCTCTCCCTCTCTCTCCCTCCCTCTCCATCGCAAAGAGACGTACCACACCGAACAAATTCCTCGAGAGCTCTGGCGATCGCGTCTGCTTCCGCTCCCCACGGGCGACTAAGACACGACTCTCATCCCGCCCGTCGCGCCCTCGCCGCCTCCTCGATCAGCGGCCTGCCTCCTCCGCCGCCCACGCAGACGTCGTCCTCGCGGCTCCTCCTCGATTGCGTCATCCTCCTACGTGCCCTTTGACACGTGTGTCCTCTAGTGATGATGCCCGGCGACCTACGCTACTTTTTCTAGGCTTTTCGATCCTGTTTGGGACTTGTCAAGAGATTTTTGTACGTCACCCAAGGCATTTTTCGATGAAATTCTGGTCGTTTTTATTATTTCTAAGTTGTTTGTTATCGTAATACTTTTTTAGTCTATTGGCTAGTCTTATGTTGACAGACCATTCAGTGTGACTGTTATATATATTTATGCCCTCTTCCTCATCTTCGTTAGCAGATGGAGATAGTGAACAGTGGTAATAAGGATACGTATAGTACCATTAATAATAGAGAGTGATGTTAGGAAAGGAACATAGAGTGAGAATAAGAACAGAACAAACGATTTTAAGTCGACTGGGAATGTATGGAATGTTGAGAAGCATTCGAGAGTAAAACAAACAACATTCCTAGAAGGGGAAAAAAGGGAATAGATAACAATTCAATTTTGAATTTATTCATTCGTTCTGTTATTAATATCTTTTCTTCCTTGTTGAAAAAAAAAAATCCTACCAAAGTACGCTGCATTATCCTCAATACGATTATGAGATTTTTTTTTTTAAATCAAGGAAACAATGTAAATCAGGGAAAAGAGAGCAGCCCCTGACAACTAGTTCCCCTACTGCGCTTCCACAGAGACATACATCGATTTGTTTGCGTGTTGTTGGTCACAGAATCGATCGTATTACGCTAGAAGGTTCTGTCTGTCTTACGCGCCTCGAAAAGAAAGAAGTATTTATTTCGAATTTGCTCGGTTTTGTATGTTGACAGTGAGCATGGCTTTCGCGCGTGACTTTGGTTCACACACCTGTTGTGCAGAATTATAAACATTTATGTAAAACTACACGCCCACATAACGAGTTTATGTAATATATATATATATATATATATATATATATATATATATATATATATATATATATATATATATATTGATATATATGTATATATTATATATGTTTATATATTGACGTATGTGTTTAACACACACAAACACACACACACACACACACACACACACACACACACACACACACACACACACACACACACACACACACACACACACACACACACACACACACACACACACACACACACACACACACACACACACACACACACACACACACACTTGTATATACACATATACCTGTATGTATGTATATATATATACATGCATGTATATGTAACGTATCTTTACGCACTTAGTACTGCAAATATTATGCCGGACTATACTTTTTTCACTTTTTTTCTGCATGTATGCAAAGTCTAGTGTAATGACCGACCCTAAAGTGTATTCAGTAAAGTGTTTTTTCCTGCGTTTTGACTTCCGTTTCCTGTGCAGTCACAACCAGCCTCCATACACAGTGACATCCAACCCGCATCCTAAATCCTCTCGCCAGATTTACCCGCATCCATATCTAGTTTGAATCCTTGTAGACTTGTTAAACAAACACCACGTGGTTTGTGATGTTGCGTCAACAATGGGACAGGTAGATAAACAAAGTCTTCATGATAATTGTAGGTACTGTTTGGAGAATTTGGAATGTGTCTGCCGAGGATTTTCCATTAAGAAATATAAGGACGTGTTTAAGGCTACAAAATAAGATGCGCTTAATATCGTCACCGTCATAATAGCCTTGCAATGCAATGTTAAGTCTTATCGAAAAATCCTTCCTTCACGATCTTTCAAGAGCGCCATCATGATAAATCACTCTTGCTCTAAAGCGTGTGTTCACAGGGAGAAGAAAAAAAAACACCTCCTATCCTTAATTACAAAATAATTACAAATAACCTCGCGAGTTATCTTAAAAAAAAAAAACACTTACAACAACAAAGAACGCTGCCCATCATCCTCTGTCTCACAACGCGAGCCGAGGCGAGGTCACTCACACGAACCACGACGGAACCAAAGGAGGACAGAGACGGGGAAGAGGGGGGAGAGGGAGGGGGAGGAAGGGTTAATAGGGAAGGGAAAAGGGGAGGGGGGGGGGGTGAGGAAGAGGGAAAGGCGCCCTTCTGCTGCCTGGTAACTACCAATCAATAGGACTCGCCTCTCTTTCTCTGAGGTCACTCGAAGTCCAACCAGCGAGAAATAGTAGATGGCTTCGTTTGGCTTTGTCGCTCGCTACATTTGCTACACGAGCTATTTTCGTTTTCCCTTTTAGTAAACGGCTGTATTAAAATGTTGTTGTTTTTATACCTTTGTGGGTTGATGTAGAATGATGTTAATAGAGTTCAGTGCAATTAATGTTTAAAATCTGCAAGGACGATTTATTTTCTAGTTTACTTATCTTTTATGCTTTACGATGCCCAAGATAAAAGGTCATTTTGTTTATTAATGTTATTAAATGCCTGATCAACTGTAAACATTTCATGTTTGATAATCGACAACAGAAATTGTAGTAACCTATTATAACCAGTGAAATACTGAAAAAATAGACACTTAAAATAAAAAATGCGAACGTACTTAGTCAACTAACGAACCAAAGCTAGATTTAAGAAAAAACAAGTGAACGTCACCACAGAATTAGCATAAATGCCCTCCATTTTCTCTTCCCATTTTCTATGAAGGAAAAGGCTGAACAGAAAATGGTACGAGAAGGTTGTCATTGGGTACTTTTGGCACTGAAATAACGTCTGATATATAAATAAAGTTTTTGCATGTCTTTGTATGTATACCTATAATATTTGGTTAGATACTGCTTACGTGTCTTTATATTATTACCATACATATCACACACGTACACACACACGCGTACGCTCACGTATCCATACACGCACACACATGCACGGGAACGCAAGCACGTATGTACATATATCTATGAGTGTATGAATATGTTTGTGTGTGTGTTTATAATCAGCTCGTGACTTTCCACTGCCGGGCATAGGCCTCTTCTTGTCGCCTGTATTCGTGATTAGGATGAGTGTATCTTGACGTGAGCGGGGGGGGGGAGGGGAATTTGGTCGGAAAGCTACTATTAAGCCTTTCTGGCATGCGAGGCCTTATTAGTAAACGTAGGTACAGGCCTGGTCACCATGTCAGGGTATAGCTACTGAGCAATGTGTGTATATATGTGTGTGTGTGTGTGTGTGTG